AAAGATTTATGTATCTATTTTAACGTTTCATGTTTATTAAAATAATAAAAGATTTTGATATTTAAGTATTTTTGGTAGTAGTAAAATTGTAGAAAATGAAATAAAAAACACTAAAGATTCGTAATTGATTTAATTTAACACCAAGCTTTTATAGGTTTTGGACGAACGTAAAAACAGGGTTCACAGCAAGAAACAAGGCTTTTAGCAACGACTTTTGTTGTCGATAAAAGTCCATTTATCATCAGAAAGAGTAGATAACAACATGTCGTCGTTATAACTTGTGGCGGAAACATGTCATCGTTATAAGAAGCATTGTCAAAACTCACTTTTCTTGTAGTGACCCTTGGTAAGTACGGTAAAAATATTCAACGAATATTTTTTATTTGTATAAAATTGAGTACAAGAAATACTGAGATACTAATAATTTACTGAGAAAATAAATCTTATTTAATCTTTATTATAAATATATAAGAGAGTACTTAAATTTACTTATTTCTTATTAGGTAATTTGAAACCAAGAATATATAAACTATGGTTGATAATTTTTTATGAAAAGTAAGAATTTTTTTGATTCATAACACGAAATATATGTTATTTTGATACAAAAAGTTAATTCGTGTAAATGAACTAATCGTGAGGGTCAATGAAAGATCAATAATAAAGAAGATTATTAAGGTTTTTTAGACAAGTAGACAAATAAAGATCAATAAGAATATGAAAGAAAAGACGATCCATTGAAACCTAATAAAAATAAATAATGAATTAAACATATAACATACAAGCTCAACAAATGATCGTTTGAGCACTTCAATAAAATCTTGTGGTGTGATGGAATCCCAATGAAAGATATATGAGTCAAACAATTAATTAAAATATTTAAATTCTATTTTTCCTTCTTTTTTTGTTCAACTAAAATAAGATATTAAGATTAAAAGTTTATGAAACATAACATATAAAAGAGACAATACTAAATACATCTAGTAGAATTTTTTTTTTTTTGATTAATCACAAAATCATGAAACACGTCATAAATTATAAGAACAATAGATTGATTGTCAAACAATAATAAAATATTTTATGTAGAAACAAAAATATATAACAATAATCAACAAAAACAAATAGAACAACATAACCAAATGACAATAGTCAATAGAAGCAGAAACTGATAAAAATATCAAACAAAAATAAATAACAATAGCAAACACATGATCTTAACGTTGAATTGTTGAAACACGAAAACAGTCAAATATATAGAGATAACAATAACCAATATCATTGGACTTTGTTGGAGATAAAAAATTAAAGAGACAATAAACATTAGCATATAATGAATGACTAATTAAATCATTTTATTTTCTTCTTAAATGTAATTAGTTGATATATTTTAAGGCACTTAAATATCTACTAAATTTTTTTTTGCCTTTTATTACATGCTACAATTTTTTGGGTTTTTTTTAATTTATTAAATTCTTTTAGACTACTATTGTATTTTAAGGAAAAAATTTAGGCCCATGATATTTTTGGGCCCTAGGCGTGCGCCCGTGCCAGCCTCCCCCAGGGACGGCCCTGTTTAACACAAACGTTTTTCATATATAATTAAATATTTAAAAATCAACAAAAAAAAAAGAAAACTAAGGGGCCGTTTACCCTATTGCTTACCCGGTAAGCACTTACCGATATGAGTCAACAATATGATTTATTTTGATGCACAATATTTTAGTACATCAAAACATATCGAATGCAACAATTTACTGGGTAAACGCTTAACTGGGTAAGAGTCGTCATCCTCACTTACCAGGTAAGACTCTCCATCATTCTCATCGCTCTTATCCGGTAAGATTATTGACCCTTCTCATGTTCATCCGATAAGGAAATTTATCCGGTAAACACTTACTAAGTAAGTGTTTAGTAAACGACCCCTAAGTTTCTTATACAACCCCAAGAAGGAAATCTAATCATGTGTTTGCTTGATATGAATTGGAATGCAATATGTAAAACGAATTTGAACATGTCTAACTGGTTCATTGAATATAATGGTGACGACGGGTGGATGTGGTGTTGGTGACGGCGATGGCGGTAGCAGTAGCGGTAGTGTTGACGATGGTGGTATGGTGAAAGCGACTGTGGTAACGCCGCTGATGGCGACAGCAGTACTAACAACCATCGTGGTTGAATGAGATTGAATGAAGTAAATATGAAAATATAACAGTCTTTTCGTAAAAGATTGTACGAAGGAATTGAAATTTCTTGTTAGAATCCAAAGAATTTACATTCCATCGTATGTAAAATTCAAACAATGAATCGAACACAGAAATAAAATTTGGTCAACGAAATTGATCATTTTAAATTACGTTCAGATACAGTAAACCAAGTAGTTTAAGTAAACAACTTTACAATTACAATATTTTGCAAATGATATTAAAGCATTCTTGATTATATTTTATGCAATAAAAGAAAAAGTCAAAAAGATATTTGTTGACCTAACTTCATGTATGTTCATAAATTTTCCATTTTTAATGAATACCTATTACCTAACCACTTCAATATTTTATATTTTTTAAATTAACCTGGATATCTAATCCGTTATGTGAACCGATTGATTGCAGGGTGACCATACACTTCGCGGGTAGCTCGAAGTCACCGCATTTGAACCTTCGTGGCTACAGGAGGATTTTTATTTCTCATTAGATTCGAACCTGGAACCTCTAGGTACTTTTGACCTTTGGAACACAAACTCAAACCAATCAACACCATCCTTATGATTTTTTTAATTTCTTTTAGTAAATATATAATTCATCAAACATTATACATCAAAAAGTATGTACATATTTAAAAAAAATATTTTGGTCATTTATCAGTATTTCATTCTAATTCCAAAACTACATTGTGTGAACCAAACAGACAGATTCCAATTTCTCAATATATTTAATTCCATTGTGTGTCAATCAAACAAGTGGTCAAACCTGACAATATTATATTCTAAATCCTTTAAATTCAAATTTTCTTTAACAAATTTCATTCCATCCAAAAACATTATGCGAACCAAACGCCACCTAAGATTATTATTATACACATACAATATAAGGGTCATTAGCTTAGCAAAAGTTAACATATATATATATATATATATATATATATATATTTCGTATTTTTTATTGGTTTTTTTGATTGATGTTCCTCGTATTTGCTAATATCTCAAACACTCTTCAAAAGTTAACAGATATATATTTCGTATCTTAAAAAGATTTTACTTATGCAAATAAGTTGAACGAGGGGATAAGGCTCTACTCGAGGCTTAGGGGGCGTTTGGGATTGCTTATAAAAGCTGTTTTTTTAACTTATTTCAGTCTGGCACCGGTGATAAGTTGTTTTCTGGTGTTTGGATAAGGAAAAAAAACTGCTTATATCGGTGCCAAACCGGTAATAAGCTATTTTTGATAAGTTAATCCTTATTGACTTGTGAAAAACTGTTTATTACCAGTTTACAATTTTAACCATGTTTTATTTAATTCCGGTTTGATACCACATAAGTTAATAAACACTTTTACAAAAAACATAAGTTGTTTTAAATAAGCAATCCCAAACACCCACTTAATAAATCAGCCAATGTGGACATTATGTTTTAACATTCAAATTTATAATAAACTATAAAAGTACTCGCGCAATATAGCGAGATATATCTCAACTTTAATCTTTCGTTTTATATATTCTATGTCGATGTTATAATACGATTTTTATGTGGTTTTGAGAAATGAATAATGTTTTTATTTTGGAATAAAATATAAATTTGAAGATATTACAAAATTTTAAAAATAAATATATCAATCTTAGTATCAAATTAACTATTTAAAAGTTTTTGTTTTTTGTGTAATTTCTTTAATTGAAATTTTCATTATAATTTAATATAGAGTTAATAACAAAATAATTTTTTTTTTGATTTAACAATATAATTTTTTTATAAGGATAATAATTAAGTATTCTGTTAAAACTCAATATTTATCTTAATTATATTTTAGATTTTTTATATTTAAAATAAAATGTTTATCTTGTATTTGATTATGTTTATCAGTAGTTAGTTACACGAATTCAAACATAAAGCTTTAATAAGTTGTACTTACATACAGTTTATTTGTAATCTTGAATTTTAATCAATATGCATCAATAAACAATACTTCATGCATAAAAAATGGTTTTTAAAAGTTTTTATGAGATGCTTTATAATATAAATAGGAACGTACTCACACATTGCAACGAGATACATCTCGATTTAAATGTTTTATTTTTGTTTGTCTTAGTCGGTGTTATAATACGATTTTATGTGGTTTTGAGAAAATGGTAATATTCTTATTTTTAAATAAAATATAAATTTGAAGATTATCATAAAAAATTGAAAAAACAATATTGATATTAGTATCAAACTAACTATTTAAAATTTCTTATTTTTGTATATTTCTTTACTTCTTTTATTTTTGATCTAATAATATAATTTTTATAAAGATAATAATCAATTATTTTATTAGAAATCAACGGTTATTCTAATTATATTTTAGATTTTTTATATTTAAAATAAGATATTTATCTGTTATTTGATTATGTATATCTACAGTTAGTTACACGAATTCAAATATGAAGCTTTATTAAGTTGTACTTACGTACATTTTACTTGTAATATTGAATTTTAAGTAATATGCATCAATAAACAGTAATTCATACATAATAAATGATTTTTAAGAATTTTTATGAAATGATTTATAGTATAGTATAAATACAAATTAAAAAGTTTTAAAAATATAAAACTAAATAATATATAGATATATCTGATTCAGGGTTTTGAATGTTGACTTTTGAATGGTTTTATCTTTGAACGATTGGCAATTAGATTTTACACGTAAATTGTATTTGATGATGATGATGATGATGATGATGATGATGATGATGATGATGATGATGATGATGATGATGATGATGATGATGATGATGACTGGCATAAATGAAATCCCAAACCTAAATCATAACAATCACACATGCAAATGACCATCTTCTTCTTCTTCTCCACCACACCAATCCTTCTCTTTCTCTTCCTTTCATGGCGGCTTACAGTTTCCACCGGAAAATAATGGAAGAGACACCCAACGCCACCATTTGCTTAATTCAATGTGATCCACAACAAAACCTCAACGGCCTTTGCATATCCCTCTGCTCTAAAGTCTGTCCCAACGTTTGCAACACCATTCAATCAGCACCGCCGCCCACCGACGATTACATCCTTATTCCACCACCAATACCCCACCACTCCTCACTCAGTCTTCCCCTCAAGATCTCCCTTGTTATCCTCGTTACCACTTTTTCTCTCTTCCTTCTCTACAGCCTCTACAAGTTGTACACTGTCTGGTACCGCTCAAGAAGCCGCCGCCGCCCGCCGCCGCCTGGAAATCAAGAAACTCTTGATGAATTTGTTGATCACGACGTTCTTGATCACCCCATCTGGTACATCAGGACTATCGGTCTTCAACCGTCAGTAATCAATGCAATTACCGTCGTGAAATATAGTAAAACCGATGGTCTCATCGAAGGAGCGGATTGCTCTGTTTGTTTGAGCGAGTTTCAAGAAGATGAGACGCTTAGATTATTACCCAAGTGTAATCATGCTTTTCACATATCTTGTATTGATACATGGCTCAGATCACACACAAATTGCCCTCTGTGTCGAGCCGGAATCGTCAAGAACACCACCACTTCGTCTTCATCCGACCAAAACTTGGATGATTCCGGTCAGATGGAAGAAACCCAGATGGCGATTTCGATTCCAGAGGAGGTTGATGGAGGACAAAGACTAAGGGAAGAAGATCATCAAGGTTCTGAATTGAGAATTGGGGTAGTCGATGAAGAAGATCTGAATAATAACAATAATAAAGGAGAAATGGTTGGTGGAGGTGGAACCAGTGATTTCTTGATCATAAGAAGGGCAGTTTCTTTGAACGATTATGCAGCTTGTAGGATTGGATCTGATGTAAATAATAATAATTATTATTCTGATCGCCATCAAGTTCAAATTCAACCTGTTGAAGGTGATTGGGTGTTGAGTAGAAGGGATTAGAGACATGTTCTGATTTGAAACCATTCCCAATTCCATGATTCTTGAGGTTTGGAAAGTTCTGTTTTCAAGTGATCACAGCAGGAGAAAGAACCCTAATTCATCAACATCTTGGCTCCCTTTTTCTTTCAAGTTACAGATACCAATTTCTCATTTCTGGGTGGGATGTTTTACTAAGTGAGATATCTCAACAACTCTCAACAAGCAAAGAGAGTCTTCATGTTTCATTTTCCTTTTGAAATTTCTGTTTTTCATTTAAAACTGCTTAACAGAACATATACTTGTGGTGGTGTTATGTCTCAATTGTTCATTAAAGAACAACTCCCACAAAAAATAATGGTTGTAAAATCTTGTTTTGTTTCTTGAACAAGAAACACAGAATTATAAGTGCACAGTTTTGCTGTTATCAAGTAATTATCAGTTCTGTTTTCAATCTCTTACTGTTATCAAGTAATTATCAGTTTCTTGAATATGTTTGAATCCAAAAACCATGATTTGATGTAGTTTTGGATTCATCTTTGATGATGATATGATGTAGTTTTGGATTCATCTTTGATGATGATATGATGTAGCTTCTTGATGGTGGTCCTGTCTCCTGATTTGATCTATTGAGCACATGAAATTTGGTCGTGTGTCAAGTCGAAACATTACATGTGGCAGTTCTTGATTCATATATATGTCAACTTGATCATGATATCGCCTTTTTTGGGTGTATAAATTTGCTGGTTTTTATGTCACAACCAACTTTGTGTGGATCATTTGAAGATGAACTCAGTTAAAGCATTAGCCGAATCACCTGATCTCAACTCCATCCCTTCTCTTTACGCCTACTCCAAAAACGCTACTGATTCCCCTGCTTCGGATCCTCAAGATCCAATCCCCACCATTGATTTTTCCTTACTCACCTCCGCTGATCCTGATCAACGGTCCCAAGTTATCCAGGAGCTCGATAAAGCCTGCAAAGATTGGGGCTTTTTTCAGGTACTTACTAGTTGCTGTCAACTATGAATTCAGTCACTTCAACTTCTTGTTTTAAGATCTTTTAATGATTTAATTGGGTTAAGGTGATTAATCATGGTGTGCCCGAGAGTTTGATGAAGATGGTTATGGAAAAAGCCGGTGAATTTTTCAATTTGACAGGGGAAGAGAAGCAAGATTTCCAGGAAAAGGATGTTCTTGATCCAATCAGGTATGGAACAAGCTTCAATTCTAAGAAGGATAAGGTCTTCTGTTGGAGGGACTTTCTCAAGGTTATCGTACACCCAGAGTTTCACTCTCCGAACACGCCCTTAGGTTTCAGGTAATCTACGTATTCTTGAAGTTCTGATGATACAACTTCATGCTAAAGTTACGTATTTGTCTGTGTTTTATTTCCAAGATTTCTTGTTTATGTCGGTTTTTCTAGAAAGGTGTCCCAGGCTATCTCATCCAGGTAAATCGTAACTGCAAGAAATCAGTCATGATAAACTCAGTAGCCATAATTGTATGTACGTCTGGAATCGAACCTAGACAGATGGAGTTCTTGTTGATTTGTTTATGTGGTCAGTGGAGGGTATTTTGGACATTTTAAGTAAACAATGTTTTTGGTGTTCAAGATGGTTACTCAAGAAGGGAGAAAAGGTCATAGAAGTACAACTTGGTAGGGTCTATTCAATGGCAAAAGACAAAAGGGTTACTTTCATATCCTCTGCTAATTCTTACCAAGATTGTGCTTGGTCAACAAAACAAACTCAAATCCCTTCTGAAGTGTCAAAATCAAACCTTTGTTTTCACGTTTCCAAAAACATGGTCATTTATTTTGGGACGAACGGAGTATTTTGACTTTGGGTCCAACCGAGTATCTTAAGCCGAGTGGTTGCGGCCATGTGGGTTCGAGGGTCGACGATCATATGTTGTGTTTCTTTGTAGTTTTCTTGTAAAAAGTGTGTTCCTTGATCCAAGATGTGCAGCTTATTGTGTTCTAAAAGGAGTCATATCTTTGACTTTTTTGAGGTCAAACAGACTAAAGTTGAACTTGTATTTTGATATGAAATCTTGAGGTTTTCAAGAATCAAGTGAAATGTGCACTGATACAAATCAAATAACCATCAATGGAGAAAAGTTCTGCTTTTGGATTTGTGAGAAATTCCATATCCATTTTGAATGTTGGAATTACAAGGTTTGACATCAAAAGTCAAAGGTTGAAGGGTTTAACATGTGATTGCAGTGAGGTTCTATTGGAGTACTCTAATAGAACAAGAGAAGTGGTAAGGGGTTTGCTTAGCGGGATATCGACGAGCCTTGGACTCGACCAATCGTACGTCGAAAAAGCGTTGAAATTGGAATCCGGTTTACAAATATGTATCGCCAATCTTTACCCTCCATGCCCACAACCAGAAGTTGCAATCGGGCTTCCGCCTCATTCTGACCATGGCCTCTTGACGCTCGTGATCAACAACGGTGTTAGCGGACTTCAAATCAAGCACGACGGCAAATGGATCGATGTGAAAGATACTCTTCCCAACTCGTTTCTAGTCAACACCGCGGACCAGCTTGAGGTACGCAAACAATGACCCTGGTGCACCAGGGTTCGTTTGCATCTTCAAATGATCCTTTAAAATCGAGATTTTAATTATCATACTATATGAAAGTTTATTGGCGTATTAAATATTTTAATAATATAGTTAATGTTAAAATAAATATTTCTTTTATTGGAGATTTTAACTTTTGCTTCTTCGTTTTAGAGAAATTATAGATAATATGTTGGAGATGCGTTTGTTTTTGGCAGATTTTCAGCAACGGGAAGTACAAGAGTGTGGAGCATCGTGCGGTGGTGAATGATGTAGTGACGAGGATATCGGTGGTTGTAGCGAACGGGCCGGCACTGGATGCGGTGGTGAGACCGGCGGATAAGTTGGTGGACGAAGAAAGGCGGCCGGTGGCATATATCCCGATGAAGTACGAAGAGTATTTGAAAATGCAACAAGGCAACCAAATCAACGGGAAAACTTGTTTGGACAGGGTTCGGGTATGAGGAGGAACCCGAATGTTTCCTTGATCAGTTGGTGCATGCTCCTGAATCAGTATTTGGTTAAGAATCAGTCTCTAAATTATTAAGAGGTGAATCTTATTTGACAAATAAAAAGTCTGTCTTTTAATGGTTCTAAAATCCTCTGAATGATTTTATATCTTGGACCTCTCTTAACCATTCATCGCCCTGATTTCGTTGTAAACAATTACCAAATAATTATATTTCATTTTGCACTATATCAGGAAAGTCTCTTCATCATCCTCACCACTTAATCATTCTATATCAAACCATTAAACAACTGCCAAACAACCCCTAAATCTAATAAACATATACCTAACATCTCCACTATTTGATGATGACAAAATCTTTCACAATTGAACACTTTCTAATACTGAATTGTTGTTACTTTAAACACAAAACAGTTCATAAAATATTTAAATGAAAAACACACATTTTTAATGAATCTAACTTCAACATATAAATACCAATGTTGTCTCTTCATCGACAAATTCAACTCTAAATTCTAAATTTAATTATATTCGACATTTTCAAAACTAGAGGTGCTTATGGGCTAGTTTGATCGGGTTGAAGACATTTGAACAACTCAACCCAATGCTTGCGGTTTGGAAAAATCTTAACCCAACCCAACTCAAACCAAAGTGCAACCCAACTCGTACGGGTTGGTCGGGTTGATACTTTGATATATTAAAATATTCTTCTAACCTTAGATATGTTATTTCTCTACTCAAAATTTATTTTTCATCGTCAACCATTTGATACAATTTATCCATATTTATTATATATATCACATTCAGTTAATTTTCTCAATTTACATATATATGTTCAGAGTTACTGAACATATATATGAATGAGTTATATATATAATATATTGAAAATATGTGTATATGAAAAGCATACATGATAGTATAATTGTCTAATGTATATATCAATAAAAATTCAACAATCATATTAAATCTAAGAAATAAAAGAATATTGGGTGAGGTTTTTGAGCACCCCTATCCAAAACCAATAAAAATGCTCCAAATTTAATTACCATTTATTATGGTTTAAATAGTTGAGTAAGGAAAGAAAGACAACAAAGTCAGGATGGCCGAGTGGTCTAAGGCGCCAGACTCAAGTTCTGGTCTTCGTGAGAGGGCGTGGGTTCAAATCCCACTTCTGACAATTTCTCTTTTTCAATTTTAAATTAAAAGGTCAAAGTCAACACAAAAAGTTAACCAATTTGCGAAGTGGGTTGGGTTCAAAACCTCCTTTTTAACATAACATCGTTTCTAACCATTTGAAGTGGGTTCCTGCATCTATTATGGTTATCGACCAGATCTCCACAATCCATATTTTAAATGGTTTTTTCATTTCACTCTTAGTCCAAACAGATTCGTTTTATGTAATCTGAATCAAATAATCAATGAAAACTGGTATCTTTTAATATATATATATATATATATATATATATATATATATATATATATATATATAATTCTAATCTAGATACTCTAAAATTTTAAATATAATGGTTCATGGTGGTTTAAATACGGTGATTTCGGACTATCTACAAAACAAGTGATCGTTCTGAGATTAGTCGGCTCACATAGCAAGTTAGATACTAATCAAGGTTTTTATGTTAACTTTGTTAACCAATCTTAATCATTAATTTTTACAATAAAGGGTTGTGATTAATAATAATAAAAAATTAAATTTTTAAATTCACAATTTCAAAGAACATATGTGAATAAAGAAAAAAAATGATATTTAGATAATTTTCTTTTTTATGTAACTCCCATATCATTAATTGGGAGTTACAAAATCAAAATATCTCATTATTTTTATTAATTTATTTTTGTTAATGTAAGAAACATATAAACACACACACATATATATATATATATATATATATGAACCATTATGTTAAATACAAACAAAAATTGACATATATATGAACTTAAACTGTATAACATTTATGAACACAATATAAATATAATAAAAATAGTTGTTACACGAAAGTAAATAAATAAAAAAATAAATATAAACACAATATGAACAATTTGTAAACACTATATATATATATATATATATATATATATATATGATATTGATGAAGCTTATATCGGACTCAGACTTTCTTTTTGTTACTTTGCTTCAATTCGAAAAAGAGTCCCCAAAATTCTTGCATAAGATAATGCCAACCCCTTTGCAATTAATTTCAAATATATATATTATATTATAAAATACAATATTTCAAATATATATATATATATATATATATAGTTCGTTTCAAATACAACTCATCATATTTGTACAACTAATGCAACCCAATAAATTAAGATATTTATAGAAATGATAAGAGTTCATTTATTATGATTTGAATATTTATAGAAGATCAATATGGTTTATTAATTATGATCAAAATACTTTATAATAAGAAACAATCAAAACTTTTATTAAATTACATATTAATCAGATAAAATGGACGGTTGAGATTGGGTTGTATTGATTGCATAAATGTCAAGGATTGTATAATTACCGACCTCTCTCTCTCTATATATATATATATATTATATTTTATAATTTTATGGGTTGCATTTCTTCTTTATATACAAACAGGAAATGGACTTGCATTGTGAATGAAATTATTTAATTAATTGTTTTTCCATTCTTTTAAATTCCAAGATTTCTCCACTTTACCATGACCGCCCTTCACACCACCACCACCACCACCAAACCGGAAATGCCATTCCACCATAAACATTCCCCACGCGCCACCGCCACCGCCACCACCCGCTTCTTCTCACCAAAACTCTCCGTCTACCTCTGCTCCATCTGCGTCACCCTTTTCATCCTCTTTCACATCAAAATCCTCCAAACCCCATTACCATCTTCCCCCAGTTCTCTATCCTTCCTCCATAACTGGCAAGAAAAATTCACCACCGCCGACGACGCTGACTCCGGTGGTTCATTATGCGCTCAGGATCTCAAATCCATGTCCGATAAGCTCCGAGAATCCGTCACCTTCCTCCCGTTGAAAGACCTCCGGTACGCCAACGCCGCCCTCGTGGGTCATACATGGTTCATGAGCTCGCTTTACGACACACATGAAGAAGGTGAAGTCCAATACCAACAATTCCCTTCCGAATCATCCAACGGCCGGATTCTCTGCATTAAAGGTCACGACAAACACGACGGTTCATGGAACTACTATGCACTAGCATACCCCGAATCCCTCCCCAAAAACGCCACCCTCGTCGGCGGCCGGACGTTTGTATCGTACAACCACTACGATTACGGCAACATCTGGCACGGATTATCCGCCATGGTTCCATTCATTGCGTGGCATATAAAAAACGGGTGCGCACTGCCCACTCGGTGGATTTTATACCATTGGGGTGAGGTACGGACTGGGATGAGCCCATGGTTGAGTACGTTAATGGAGGCCACGTTCGGCGGGCCGATGAATATCGAGAAATTCGACGACGGCGGTGACGATCAGGCGACGGTGTGTTACGAGGAGGCGGTGGTGATGAGGCATAATGAAGGAGGGATGTCGAGAGAGAAGAGAATGGGGGTTTATGATCTGGTTCGATGTAAGGCGAGGATGATGTGCAACGTTGAGTTGGATCGGAGCGACGGCGGCGAGATTGGGTTGACGTTGCTGATGAGAACAGGGCCGAGATCGTTTCGGAATGAGACGGCGGTGGTGGAGATCTTCGAGAGGGAGTGTAAGAAGGTTGAAAGCTGCCGTCTAAGGGTGGCGTATTCTAGCAATCTCACCATTTGTGACCAGGTTAGTATTTCTGTGGTTGATTGCATGGAATAAAATCTAGAGTATGTTCTCTATTTTAAATATAATAATATTATTTTTTTAAGAGGAAATTACAATTTTAGTCCCTGTAATTTGTTAAAATTATGAGTTTGGTTCTTATGTTTTGAAAATTATGGCTTTCAACCGTTTTGTCTTTTAACTTTGCTCTAAGAGATTTTTCCCTCATGTTTGACACCTTTCGTCCCTTCTCTTAAGCGCCGTTAACTTTTTCCGTCAAGTCCAATTAAATGAGAGGTATTATGGTCATTTTACCTGCTTTCTTTATCCTAGGGACCAAAAGTGAATTTTACTCTTTTAACTACTTACTGCAACATCAACATCACACAATCAAGACCCAATTTTTTGTAACTTGATTTAAATCGATCGTGGTTACATGAAATTTAAAATGAAAACCCTAGGTTCTCATATGGAGGAGGGTTGTTGACGATAGAGTTAGGAGGTGAAGAAAACCTTGGTGAACTGCAATTCACTGGCACCATAGTGGCCAGAGTTGATACCACCAAATAGTGGTTGTTACATGTGGGGTAATGGTAGAGTACGTTCCTTCATATCTTACGTTTGTGCTATAGATAAAAGGAAGAGATGGATGTCGACCCTTTGTGTCGAAAATGAGGGGCGGGTGAGGGTCATCTGTGATCGTTGCAATGGGGGGGGGGGGGGGAGGATTTTGTTGGAGATTTTGTAGGGGCGTGATTCATAGATTGGAGGCAGAGGTAGGATGCCGGAGGAGATGACAAATTTGTAATTCGTTTGTTTTTCTCACTTATGGGGATGGGGATAGGGATGAGAAAGACAGGCAGGATGGTTAAATGGTGGTGATTAGGGAACTATTTTCGACAAAAGGTGTGTCCGGGAAGAAGGGAAGGGTCCATTATTGGGGACAAAAAAATTGATTAATATTAAAATTTAAAATGAACAAAATACCCTTCATTTAAATGCATTTAACGAAAAAAGTTAACCGTTAGAAGGAGGGACGAAAATCATTATGAGGTACAAATCAATTAAAACAAAGTTGAGGGACGAAAACCATTAAAATTGACAAATGTTAGGGACCAAAAGTGAACTTTACTCTTATTTATTTGGATATAGTTATTATTATTATATTATTGAGTAAACTTTAAATTTGGTCCTTACAGTTTGTTGAAAAATTAAGACATTTTCCGTTCATATAATTTTGAAATTATAAGAAAACCATCGTGGTTTATACAAAAGTTTGGATTTGATCTCTTTCTTGAAATAACGTTAAATGAATGACATTTTTTCAATTTTTTCTTTCTTTTATCCAATCCGAATTGATTTTATAATTTTGGTTCATGTGGTTTTTGATCGAGTAAAAGACAAAAAATCGATAATATAAAAAAATGTCCTTTTTTTATTTTACAGCCATTAGAGAAAAGGACCAGATCTAGATATTTATACAAACTATGATGTTATCTTGTAATTTTAAGACTATAAAAATACATCTTGTAATTTCAAAACTATAAAGATAAATAATATTATAGGGGTGTTTGGGATTGCTTATTTTAAACAACTTATATTTTTCTACAAAAGTCTTTATCTACTTATTATAAGTTAAAATGGTTTAACTTATTCAAAAAGTCTTTATTACCGGTTTGACACCGTTATAAGCTGTTTATCCGAACACCCAAAAACACTTATTACCAATGCCACATATAAATAAATCAATAAATTATTTTTACAAGCAATCCCAAACTCTCCCAATTTTTGATATGGAATTGTACTTTGAGTAGACGTGAATTTGGCAAGAATTTATGGTTACTTTAGAGACTTCCGAAAGTGGAAAAGGTTTATTAATACATTAAACCAATAAAATTTAACTTTTAAATTGATCTTATTAATATTTATATTATATAAGCATTAGTTGTGTACCTGTGTAATGCGGCGGGAGCTGTGAATTTTAACGATTTTAAAGTTTTATTGGTTTTATTAGAGAAGATTTAAAGATGATATAAGTTACACTTAGTCTTTCCACATTAATACAATTTGAATAAATAAGAGTTATGGTTCCAATCACAGTCTATCGATGAAGAAAATTGTATGATAGTTTAAAATCTAATATATTTAAAATACAACATATTTAAACGACTCCACAAATGTGTTCGATTTACACCAAGAGCAAACAATCAAGAGATCGAGAGTGAGACCGAGAGTTGTAGATCAATTGAATGAGAGAACTTTTAATAACTCATGGTGAATATCAGTTTGAATCTCACCTTGGGGATGGGGAGAAGACATAGAGGTATGAGAGGGTGAAGACATAAAGGTATGAGAGGGTGAAGACATAAGTGAAAGATGTCAAAAGTATCTTGGAAACATAAAAAGAAAAGATAATAATGTGCATTGGTAACTTGTAATATATGTTATTTTATTTGTAGATTAAGAGATTTTAAGAATGAATGCATAAAATAGTAGTACTTAATGCATTATGAGTTGTTAAGACTTTGTATATAAATGTATAGTATTTTGTGCATCAAAAATTGTTTTTAAGACTTTTGATAAATCTGGTTTATAAGGTAGTATAGATAATTATATCTGAGTTTCTGTTTTTTTATTTATTTTTAATGTAAAAAAATGAACCTATTAAACAATTAAGACTCCGTATTTGGACTTTACAAGATTTTCTTGCAAAAAAAATGCAGGTGAAATTGATGGGTGCAACGGACATATTGGTTTCACCCCATGGTGCACAACTGACCAACCTTTTCCTAATGGATAGAAATAGTAGTGTCATGGAGTTCTTCCCCAAAGGTTGGCTCAAGTTGGCCGGTGTCGGCCAACTTGTCTACCAATGGATGGCTAGTTGGTCTGGGATGAGACATCAGGGAACTTGGCGGGACCCAAACGGCGATAACTGCCCTTACCCTGACGACGACCGTCGTTGTATGTCCATCTATAAGCATGGCCAGATCGGATACAATGAAACTTATTTTGCATACTGGACTTCGAAGGTTCTTAACGAGGTCAAAATGAGAAAATTCGAAGAAGCCTCGAAGGGAAACATAATTCCTACCAGGTGCGCTTGTAGCTAAAATGTAGAATTCTAGGTACATGAAGTCTAAGTTATTCGAGGATTCAAGCGTTGCGGCAAAAAAATGCATATCAGTAGATACATGGGTCAATTGTACCAATTTTAATTTCGTTGTACGTTTTTTTCGGTTCATTTGCTTAAGGATAAATTGCAACAAAATTAACTAACTTTTGAGTTTATTCATGTTTTATGGAATCAGATTACAAAAATTATATAATTACCATAAAAATAATTTCATTAAACTTTTCGAATGGTTTCGCCGAGATCCTTGAGGTAAATCTCTCAATGGCTACAAACACATATGTTAGGGATGAACCCATAAATTTTTTCAAATAGTGGTACCGTTTGACTATAAGAAACATATATCGGGATATTTTTTATAATGTTATAATTGGTCTGTTGGTCGCTTTATTGGTTTTCATATGTGAGGTCTTGTGCTCATCAGTCTTTTTAAAACATATAAAAGTAGTGTTAAAATATACTAAAAATTACGCCAAAATACACCAAAATGTATCATAAGTTGCATCAAAATATACCCAAGTAATATCTAATCTATATTAAACTAGTTTTTTTGCACCGTGCGTTGCACGGTGACGATAATTTTTTAGGAAAAAAAATCAAACTAAAKTTAAAATATTATAATGTCAGTTCATGGCTTCATTCATATATCATTTTTTTATTAGAGTTATAGAATATAAATATAATGATTTATTGACCTTCATATTTTTATTGTTCATGTTGTCATCCTCACAATTGTTGATATTGTTACGATCAATCATTCTAAATATATAACTAAAACTTTAAACCATCATTAAATAAAACTCTACAAAATATTAAACAGGACAATCTTTTTATTTATTTATCGAATATATAAAATTTTTTTTTTTTTTCTTTTTCATACAAAGTCTTTAATTCCGTCGCATAGCAAATCAGTTTATACCCAATAAAAAATATTATTTTTTTTCATTATGTATTTTAAATATGATATTATATAAATAAATAAATAAAACTTTAAACAAATTTAAATAATTTTAAGTATAATAAAACAAATAACATATATCATATAATTTAAATAATTTAATAAAAACAAACAAATACACATATAAAAACAAAATAAAATGTGATATTTGTATGTGTATTTATTTGCTTTAAAAAACGTTAAATGAGATATAATATGTAGATGAGATAAAAAACGGAATAGAAAACGAAAGGTTTAGAACATTTATGAGTTAATGAAAGATAATTAATATAACCAACAAAATAAATCCAAAATAAATCTAAAAATTTGAAAAAAAAATGAATTATGAAATAATTTTTCCACAAAGTGTAACATAAGATACTTCATATTTTATTTTTAGATTTATATAAAATAATGATGTCAAATGCTCAGTTAAGGACATCTATGGCTTGGAAAATTATTTGGAAGAAAATAATGAAATACACAATTTCATACACGGGTAAAAAAGTATTTAACTTATTTAACATTTCATAAATTAAAAACAATGAGAAAATCTCTTTTAAAAATCATTTTGTGACAATGTGTCACACCATTTATTGTAAGTTTATTTTAATTAGTAGATGAAAAGATGAAAATAACATAATGAATGTCCCTATGAAGTTATGTAATGTGAATGTTAAAGCTAATTAAGTTGGAAGTGGTCAAAAAAAGTCTTCTTATAATGTAATACATATTTATCATTTAGGGGTAGAATAATATAACTTATTTAATATTATAAAAACATTGACAAATCCTGGAGGAACACATGAAAATGTTTAGAGGTTTCATCTCAAAAAATGAAGAGGAAAATGTTGGAGGTTAAGCTTTTTAAAATTACCGAAACAACCTTATTAATGATTATTGTGAATGGAGTTTAAATTTGTTTTTTATAATATCTTGTAATCATAAATTATCAAAACTTTATTCGAATTTATATGATCAAATCGTAAACACAATCATGTCTTACGATAACAACAAATCCAACAATATTGAAAGAAAAAATATGTAATAACAAATTACATTTTGTAAATAATATAATTTTTACATACCTTTTAAAAAAAATTAAGTTTTCTTCAATTCTTATTTCTTCATTACTCACCAAATGATTTTTGTCAATTGAAAAAATATGAAGTAGTCAAAATTTAAATTATCAATCACRTATATAAATAACTATTGTTAATGAAGCTTAAATTCGAAAAAAGTTTATCATATCTTGTGATTACAAAATATCAAAATTTTATTCAAAWTTATATGATCAAATCATAAACACAATTTATATGATTCAATCATAAATACAATCATATCTATCCTATGATAACAACAAATCCAACAATATTGAAAAAGAAATATGTAATAACAAATCACATTTTTAATGAATATAATTTCTACATACCTTTTAAAATCTTTGAATTCTTCTTCAACTCTCACCTTCTTCATCATTCACCAAATGATTTTCTAGGATTTCATTTTGTTTATTATTGAAACTTTAAAAAACAAATTTCATTTAAGAAATAAAAGAAAGTAAATGGAAGAGCAAATCAAGAGTTGGAGGTTAAACTTGGTATATAAAATTACAAAAATAACCCAGTGAATTATGAGCTATACATTTCTCATCCAGGGGCAAAAAAGTCTTTAACATATTCAACATTTAAAAAAATCAAAAAAATGAGAAAAAAAAATAGGAGGAGTTCTAAGCATTAGAAAGCGCCACCTCATTATGCTTGGTTTCTCCTTTTATATATATATAGATTGAAGGTCGTGTCATGAACTATTCTTCACTTACATCATCCTATCTATTTCTTGTTGGGATACAACCATTTAACTTTCTTGTAACTTTTTTTGATGTCTAACAATATTCTGACCTAAGGATGTCTTTAATGATGAATATAAAATGTAAGTAATAGCCAATAAAAATAAAATGTTATTTTAAAATCTGAAAAATAAATAATGACCTACCCTCAGCGGTGGTATTTTCCCACCTCTATTGTTTGTTCCATCTCTAGAGCCTCCTGTTGTAGTCGTTTTTGAATGTTGAGTCTTGGCCTACCTTTTGACTTAACAGGTTTAGGTGGTGGGTCCTTCTTCTCATTCTTAGATATCCTAGCATTTTGTCGTGTTTCTAAGCAATTGGTACATGTCATAGCCTTCCCTGATTGAGCCATCGTGTATTATGGTTCTCTGATTCTGATTTCTTCCTCTTGACGGACGGTCTACCAGGAAAACTCTTCTTCTTAGGTAGGTTTGGTTTAATGAAAGGTGTTGGAGTCCACATGTTGCTCTCACTCAATGGTCTTATATGTTTCTTGTAGGCCATTTTGAATAGATCTTTACTAAACCATTCGCTTATATAATCCTCTAGATCATTGTTTATAAAGAGTATGGTGGATGGAATGTACACAGTCCATCAAAATGGCATGGTATACAACAGGTTATCCGGTAAGCACTAATCGAGTAAGATTATCAATATTTGACATGTTCATCCGGTAAGATAAGTGTCCCCCTAAGTACTTATCGAGTAAGCATTTGGTGAACAGTCCCTAAATGTCGTTAGTAATTGGGTTTGTAGTCGAGTCTTTTATTTAATTTCACATCTTCATTGCTTTCTTCGTTTTTAGTTTTGTTCGAATTATTAAACCCTCAGAGCAAACTTCTATTCATGTTAATAGTTTATAATCTTGTACAACTTAGACCATCACCATACTGTAATCAATCTGTATGTTACATTACCTACCTATACGTTTGTGGTATAAACGAAGAACACCCGGTTTGGGCCCAACAACAAAGCCCACTACCACTAGCCCATAACTAATACTCTTGTTCAAAATATCATATATCTATTTATATTTGTGCTAAAATAAGTGTCCACTTTCAAAAGTAAATAACCAAATTCTCAAATTTAGCCTTAATTAATGCACAAATATTCACTCAGTCATGCATGATGAGTGTTTCTTTATGATTCGATTCAAAGAATCTCCGTTACAGATTCATCCATGATATTTTCATCTCATACGACTCCTCTTAATCATTAAGCAATTAAGCCAAAATGGCTATATGGAATTAGCCAGGTACTCTCATTTATCCCCATTAAGCCACCTCAATCAAATTAATACAAAAAAAATGCAATATAAATGATCCAACCCTCTCTGTTTATCTCAATCAAACAACAATACGTTTTTATCCAAACAGACAAATTTAATCAACATACAACTTAATCCATACAATGCTTAATGGAAAAAAAAACTATAAACAATATATAGTTCAATGTGAAATTGCAACCACAAGGGTAGTCTTTGATTGGTTTAAGCTTGACTCCAAAGGTCAAAAGTACTAGGAGGTCTCAGGTTCAAATTCAAGGAGGAATAAAAATCCCCTTATAGTCATGGAGGTTCAAATGCAGTGACTCCAGGCTATCTGTAAAACAAATGGTCGTCCTAAAATTAGTCAGCTCGCATAACGGGTTAGATATTCAGATTAATATAAAAAAAATGTGAAATTGCAACTTCAAGTTACTATGTCATAATAACAATGTGAAAGCATATGATCCAAAAGCTTATCTCAAAGATAAATGTGTCCAAAAAGCTAAACAAACACAAAAGTGGCACCCTTTTCCAACACTCACTTTTGTAGTAATTTATAATATTTTACTTAAATCCATTATTTTTAATATATCACATGCAATGTATCTCAAAATACCAACTTTCAATCTTGGTTTCCATTATTGGAATCTAATTTCATTTCTTGGATTTGGGTCGGGATCCAATTCTCTCGTTTCCTGATCGAAAAAATGAAAAAGCAGAAGAACAGTAACAGGTTTCGTCTATTCCTTTCAGTTTTATTTTCATTGTTTTGTACAGTTTTGAATTACAGATTGGATGACATTTAAATTCAAGGTTAATGAGTAGGGTTTAGACATGGAGCTTATTCCGTATTGGTAGAGTTAACGTTTATCATGTATTTGAACGCGTTTATATGTTAGTTTTGTGAAGTTGAAACGTGTAGGTTTAAGAAGTTATATATAAACTGTAAGCATGCATTTATAAGATAAGTTAAAATACTTTATATATTTTTAGAGAAGGTTCTGGTAGAATGTCACTGAAGCCAATACCCTTAGAGAAGCTTTTTTGTAAACCTTCTCTAAAAGTACCTTTTAGTGACGCTCTTAAACCGTCACAAATACTTGAAAGCGTCACTAATAAATATTTTTTGAGAAGGTAAAATTGACTAACCTTTAGAGAAGCTTTGAAAGTGAATCTAAAGCCCGCAAAAAACGTCTCTAAAAGCTAACAAAAAAATACACCTTTCGGAATTCCTCCCTAAAACCTTTACCTACTCTTATATAGAGAAACTTTTTGACAGAAATGAAAAGCTTCTCTAAAACCTTTAGAGAAGCTTTTAAGACTGTTAAGTAAAAAACAAACGCTTCTGTGTAGGTCATTTTTCTTGTAGTGGTTAGTAAATCTTTTCTAAACTTACATTAATAATAAAACGGGTCAAATGAGTCAAAAGTCACTCAAAGTATATTTAAATAGGTACAACCTTTAAAAAATTTATTAACAAATCTTGACTGGAAATCTTGTAATCGTGTGATTGAATTCTAGATCATGTGAAGTTAAAACAAGATTGAACCTTTATAGCAAAAATACTGTAAAAGTTATTTAAAATAAAAAAATGGTTTTATGAGTCTTACGAAAATAGGCTGGTCTTAGGAGTGTTCAAAAATACTGTTGGACCACACAAACCGGCCGAACCAAGTCAAATCGGGCCGTTTTTGGCGGTTTGAGCGGTGTGGCGGTTTGGTTTGGAAAATAGTAAAACCGGGCAGTCCGGTCCGATCTGCGGTTTGGAACCGTTTTTGGATGGTTTGGACTAAACCGACCGCCAAATATATATATATATATATATATATATATATATAGAGGAGAGCGATCAAATGCAAACCACTCAATTTGTACAAACCGTGCAAACCGCATTCAACCAATCATAATTTTTTATTTTGTTCATTTTTTTGTAATTATGAGAGGTTGATTAATCATTTTTATTGTGGAGGGTGTTAATCATAGATATTATCATCTTCATTATTTTAATTTTAGAAAAATACATGAAACAGTTTCATTAATGTTAGAGAAATACATGAAACAGTTTCATTAAGTATTATATGAAACAATTTCACAACCATATATGAAACAACTTCATCAAAAAAATTATTATATGAACCAATTTCACAAGATTAAACAATTTCATGAAAAAATTTCATAAGATTAAACAATGAAATCGACAGATGAAGGTGGTTTGCACGGTTTACACAAATGAGGGCGGTTTTCATATATATATATATATATATATATATATATATAGGGTTGGGTTCACGTGAGACCAGCCTGTTTTCGTGAGACCCGTGAGACCAACATTTTACACGTAAACTTCACAGCAAAAACACTGTGAAGGTTTAAAAAAAGTCAAACCTTCACAGCAAAAACACTGTGAAGGTTTTAAAAAGTCACCTTTACAGCATGTTTTAATAAACAAAAACTTTTAAATAGTTAATTTGATATTAATATCGATATATTTTTTCAAATTTATTTTTATTCAAAAGTAAAACATTATCTTTCTCAAATTCACATGAATTATATTATATCAACAAACAAAAAATAAAATAAAATATTAAAAAAAATGTATCTCGCTCATTATATCGCGCGAGTACGATTTTAATATTCTTAAAAGATTTTTCAAAAATCTAAACTTGTTTTGTTCAATTATTTAAAATCAATAAAAGGATTTCTTTTTGGTCTCTCTAAAAAGAGCAGAGAGTCTTGAAATAGCAAAGAAATCTCACATTTCAGAAAAGAATTCATGTGAGATTTTCCATTTTTGGTCATTCTTCTTCACTTGTATTCCTCCCCTCCTTCTTCTTCCACCATCACTTTCTTCATCATTTCTCTGGTTTCATCATGTGGGATTCAGAATCTGAATCAACGAACTACAATGGAGTTCTTACCCTCAATCATGCCGTTCAGACCGATCGATTTGAACAAAGAGGTCGATCCTGGTAATCGTCCATCCATCTCTCTTAATCTTCTCAAAATCATCCATGCAAATTCTCATATTTCATTGTTCTTATCAAAACAGGTATGTTGCAACTCATATCCCAAGTGATTTCCTGGTCCAAATCGGTGGTTTTAGCTTCCATTTGCACAAGGTATCGACTTTATGGAACTCGAACTGTTTTGGGTTCTACAGATTTTGATTTCTTATTCGTAAAAATCTGACGAACACCTGTACTGTGTGTTTTTGTGTGTGTGTTTGATTCAAATTTCGAAGTCTCCCCTGCTTTCGAAAAGTGGAAAAATGAACAGAATCATACAAGAATCGAAAGAAATCGACTCCAAAAAGGTAATTCTAGATGATTTACCAGGTGGGGCGGAATCTTTCGAGCTAGCTGCAAAATTCTGCTATGGAATCGCCATTGATCTGACCTCCACCGTAATCGCCGGTCTCCGATGTGCCGCCGAATACCTCGAGATGACGGAGGAATTCGAAGAAGGGAATCTGATCTTCAAAACCGAAGCTTTTCTCAACTATGTGGTGATGTCTTCATGGAAAGATTCGATCTTGGTGCTTAAAAGTTGCGAAAAACTGTCTCCGTGGGCCGAAAACCTCCAGATCGTTAGGCGGTGCAGCGAATCGGTTGCACTGAAAGCCTGCGCTGGTCATAACAGAGTCCGGTGGAAGCAGACCGGAAAACAGGATTCGAGCCCAAGTCGGAGCCGGGTTCTTCCCGATTGGTGGTGTGAAGATATTTCGATCCTTAACATCGACCATTTCGTTCGTGTGATTACTGCGATTAAAGTCAAGGGAATGCGGTACGAATTGATTGGATCCGCGATCATGCATTACGCTACGAAATCGCTTCCGGGGATGATCAAAGAGGGTTCGACCGGTTCGGTGGAAGAAGGAGCCAGCAGCAGCAACAGTGCCACCGCAACCGGTGGTGATTGGAACTGCCGGCTCCATATGATCATAGCCGTGAATAAAGGCGATCATTCTTCGAGCCCGCAGGGGAGATGTCAAAGAATGATCATCGAGAGCCTAATTAGTATCATCCCGTCACAAAACGATAGCGTCTCGTGTAGCTTTCTCCTTCGGCTGTTAAGATTAGCAACTATGGTCGATGTGGCACCGGCTTTGATCACGGAACTCGAGAAACGAGTCGGGATGCAGCTTGAACAAGCTACATTGGCCGATCTTTTGATTCCGTCTTATAACCGAAGCGAGACGATGTATGATGTCGATCTTTTTCAGAGAGTTTTGGAGCATTTTTTGATTCAAGAAAAGATGGAAATCTCGAGCCCCAGAAGGCAACCGATGATCGATAAAAACAAAGGGACTCGAGGTGGTAACGACTCGAGTGCCAAGATGAAAGTTGCTCGGCTTGTTGACGGTTATCTTACCGAGGTTTCGAAGGATAAAAACCTTTCGTTACCGAAGTTTCAGGTCCTAGTCGAGGCTTTGCCGGAATCGGCACGAAGTTGCGACGATGGCATATATCGCGCAATCGATTCATATTTAAAGGTACCCTCTTGTATTTTTCTCTTTTGCTAGCCCGAAAATTGCTTGATTTGGTAAAGAACCACTACGACAATAACGTACGTCTAAATGTTATAATAAACAGTAGAACGCTCCTCGACGTTGTTTAGAAGCGAAATCCCAAATACAATCTATCAAAACCATCGATTTTTTCGATTTGCAGGCTCATCCGATGCTCCAAGAACACGACCGCAGGAGGCTATGCAAAGTCATGGACATCCAAAAGCTCTCGCTAGACGCCTGCAGACACGCTGCTCAAAACGAAAGGCTTCCCCTTAGAGTCGTGGTCCAAGTCATCTTCTCGGAGCAGATCAAGCTCAGCAACACTATAGCCAACACTGTCTACAAAGCCTCCGGCGAACCAAACTACCAACCGATCATTCCTAACCGGAAAACTTTACTCGAAGAAACACCACAGTCGTTTCAGGACGGATGGGCAACGGCCAAAAAGGACATTACCACGCTCAAGTTCGATGTAGAAACCGTGAAAACGAAGTACTTAGAGCTTCAACACGATATCGAGAGTTTGCAAAGGCAGTACGATAAGATAACGAAGTTGAAACACCGGTCGGCATGGTCGAGCGGATGGAAGAAGCTGAGCAAGATAACCAAGATTACGACCATTGAGGATACCGGAATCGGGTCTCAAGGTAACACGGAACACACCGTGAAAACGCCAAGAAGGTGGAGGAATTCGCTTTCTTAAAAGTTAAAACTCAATTGCAAACAGGGACGGACCCAAGAATTTTTGGATATAGTGGCACCATATGAAACGGTTGCACCTTCTAGAATAAAACGGCTGCACCGTTCACGAACCTAATTTTTTTACCTTACTACGGAGAAACAATATGATGGCACGTACCATTTAACCACCCCTCTAGTAGGTCCCTCTATAATCGCAAAAGTCACTTTCTTAATTGGATTATGAAAAGAACCTATCATGGTTAAACCTAACCTGATCCAAGACATCTCTTGATTAGCCTAACCCAACTCATGGTTAACCTAACCCACCTAAATGTGTCGAACCAACAACACATGCCATAACATCACAACTCATGATGATTGCTCACATCACATGTCTTTTCATGTGACCATGTCCACCATGAGGAAGACTAATAACATCCCTATCATTTACTTACGACACTCTTATACAACTATGTGATCATTACTCTTTTTGTTTTTTCTTTGGGGGAGGCTAATGGCACCCCTATCAATTGCCATTAGCACCCTTAAAACTAGTTGTCATTATTGTTTTTAATGTCTTTTTGTTTTTTTTTTATGTTTTTTAATTGTTATTTTAATTTATTTTTAAAGAAATTTCAGTTTAATATAAATTTTTTATTTTGTTTTTTCTGTTTATTTATATTATATTTTGATTAATACAAATTATTAATAAATATATATTTTTTATCGTATATATGTTATATTTTAACTAGAAGCGTATTCGCGCAATACAGCGAGATACATCGTGATTTTAATATTTCATTTTATTATTTATCTCAGTCGATGTTATAATAT